AGGAAGCGTGTGCTTTGATCGTCGTGGATGTTGAATGAGTGCAAATTCTCTTACAAAATTGTGAAAAACTGCAGAATTAGATTTAAATAGGGCAAAAAAGAACAAATTCTGTCCGAGGTCTGTTTACTGTTTACCTGAGACGTGATGAGAAAACGTATGTTTAAAAGTCTGGTTTACACGATACCAGATTCGTCGCCAAGCTTTACTAGTAAACTAAACTTGTCGAACACAAAAAATCCGGCCTGATTTTTATTTTGGCCTCTCTTTAATTTTAGACAGAGGAATGCAACGTGTGAATTGGCTGCCACCAAGGACTATCGTGGCGCATGTGTTTCTTAAAATTATATTTCGGGGTTGTCCAATTATCCATAGTCTCTCTAACGGAGCAATGTTGGAGAGACTGGTGAATGCCACATTATGATGCTACAGCTAATGCAAATACAATACACGAATAGGTCTATTTGTTTTCCAGGCCTATAAATCTACTGTGATCGAACATGATTGCTATTTTTCCGTCTACACTCTTGGACGGTCAAATTCTGATTGTTCTCTAAAATCACTCAGCCTTTGCCTCAAAAGTCAAATGAATGTGCCCTGATCTGTGGATTACAAGTTTATTGTTTGATTCAAATTATGAATTTATTAACGGGAGCTTTGCTTTTAGCCCTGGCTAAATCTATATATTACTCTGAGAGAGATTCTGGTCGAGAGGGTTCAAAAGAAGCTCATAAATATGGCAAAAAGAGGTTAGTCTTAATCAATGGGTATGTTTTTATTCTTGTAAGTTATTCGGTATTGATGTGTTCATGTCTGAATCTATATTTTTGTTTGAAAAAGAACACCAAGCTGCAGCTGAAGATTGTTCTGCCGTAGAGATTTCAGCAGGCATGATCAAAGGGTAGGGTTTTTTAATAGAATTAGTTGTAAAATATAAACTTTCTCTACCCTAACTGTAGTATTTATTGCTGTTAGGTACCATGAGTTTAAGATAAAGTTGCCAATCGGCTGCAGCGTGATAGTGGAAAGGGAAGCGTCTGGGGCAAAAGACGAATATGCCCTTCTCTGCAAGGTTCATAGTGATCTGGACGATGCCATGATGGAGATGGTCATGAAGAGTAAGTCAGCCAAAACGGAGTATAAAGTGCGAGATTTGGTGGGGAAAACGATTGGTCGTGTGCAGTATTTTCTGAACAAAACGTTCGTGGAATTGTTGGATGAGGGTCGAGTGACATGTATTCAAGGGTAAGTCGTTGGCTTGTGTTATTGTGTTCTGGGCTGAAAGAAAGTGAGAGTCGGTAAACAATGCTGTAATCAACAGCGGAAAAACTTTCAATGTTCTCTGTTCAGCTTACCCACATTTTAATTTACTTTTTGCTCGATAGGTGTAACCGGTGAGCCCACTGCTAGTGTAAATCCTCAGCAAAAACAAAAGTGGGTAAAGAACCGAAGGACTGGTGGTGGAGCTATTATCCCATGCACATGGCTGCTGTGGGTACCACGAGGAATGGAGGAACGAGTGATGGAAGTGATTAGAGCACGGTTGCCTGATGTTGATGGACACGAATATATGGACGTCCAGGTTAGGAAGACGGAAGATAAATATAATATAATGGGAGCAAACACATTTCGATTTTCATTCAACGGAAGCACATAGAAGTGTCTCTGGCTATTTGGGAAACAGAAAAGCTTGATTATTTTACACTGGACTGCGGTTAAGGCAGAAATAGACTTTTAAGGATCCACTCTGTAAGGAATAGTTGCACTAGAGCTCCTTTGATTTATGCTCTTGAAATCATGGTTAGTCCTGGCATGTTAATTGATCGTTGCGGTTACACTATGAAGTATATAAACACGGTAAAGAAGCCCTATGTGAAGGACCACATTGAATCCTCGAAAAGTTATAAATTAAGGTTTATAGGATCAAATTCTTTATTTATTTTCAAAGAAAGTAAAAAAAAAATTATTTTGTTTTATTAATGCTACAAAACCATCCAAAGTCAGTCAAAAATAATACCAGCTGAGATGTCTTGGCCACAGCAATGTTAAAAGACATAAGGTAAATTTCAACTGTAAATCATTGAACAGTGATAATCTGGGTTGTACAACTTTTAATCTTGCAGGTTCGACACCAGTCAAAGAAAAAAAGAGATGCATGAAATGTGTGCTGTAGACAGATGAGAAGAAAAATCAATAAACATTAATAAATTTAAACTACTTTTTATTTTTGTTATGATGACTGGTTCTTTGATTCTTGTTCTGTGGAAGTTTAAATGGGTGATACCCCTTCTTGTTTTGTGCAATTCCAGGAAGTAAACTCTGCAAGGCTGTGTTTACACGGGACCAGTTTAAGAGGGATCCACATGGATCTGCTCCAATACTTAGAACAGATAAGCCTGCTGTAGTGTTCTGGAACCCAGTCCTGTAGTTAGCAGATCTTGCATGAGGGGGGGGGGGGGGGG